ATTGCAAAACCCCGTTTACATAGTCGCCTTCAGTTTATATAACTAGTTAAAAAATAAAAAGTTAAAAATATACAAGTTGAAAATGATATAGCAAAACACAATATGTTACAATTAGTAAATTGTATACTAAAATTTTTTGTTTTAGTTATCTATTTTTTATTTTTATAAGAAGAAAATAAATAACAAATCAAGACAAAAATAAGTGAGTAATGGTGACTTGTTTTCGGTTTAATTATTTTAGGTACTAATTTTAAAAAAATCTTAAGATCGAAGTTATTTTTTAATAGATTCTTTTTTGAATTGTTCTTGGGATAAGTTAAGAAGAATTTTGTTTTTATAATATTTTTCAAAAAATTTTTCCATATAAATGGCTGAAGGCATTGAAATTATAATGAACTGAGTTTTAAATAAGATCTTGAAACAATATAATTATTAGTTGAAAACTTTGTGGGGTATTTATGAATAGTTTAGTTGAAAAATATATTAGGAGATAAACCATATTTTGACTTAAACATTAGAAGCATAACTTGGTATATGTTAAATATAAATATTGAGTGCATTAAATTCCATTAGAAGAGATTCATTATTAACAGTTCTATTAACACCAAATAAAATTCTACAGGTATGTTTTTCTTAGCTATAGATTTTTTTAAGCTTCCAATTGTTTGTACGTGAGTATTAAGTTAGTTTTATTCCGTCAATTTGCACACATTTTACAATGCTATCCTTAAGATCTTAAATATATATGTAAATACAATTTGATTAACAACAACAACAACAACAACAACAAGCTATTTATTTTCCGTAAATCATTTCACAATAGTTTTGATAATAATGATGATAATAATATTAATAGCAAAAATATATAAAAATAATATAAGATAAAAATATAATTATACATATTATAGTAATAGTAATAATAAGTATTTTTACAATAATTACAATAAAAATGTAATTATAATAACTAATTTTAATATAATAATAAGTTAATGATTTATTAGGATGGTGTCACTCATACAGAAATCTGATCAAGGGAGTGACAATTTTTAATATAATATAAGTAATAATAAGCAAAGACACACACTGAAATACATGGACTGTAAACACACAAACCAAAGCACATAAAATATACATCAAAACAAACATTTAGAAATCAATATGCAGGTTTTACTAATAAAAAAAATAAAAAAAAGTGCTGATGATAATTATAATAATTATGAATAGAAAACTAAAACAATATTTAAATCATAAGGATAATAATGCCAAAAACTTAAAATAAAATGTTTTTTAGATTTTTTTTTAAATTGATATTGTTTAAGATGGAGTAAAGGTATTTTAGGATATATTTTTTTAGACTTATTCAAAATACATGCATGGCTTCTATTCCATTCACAGACGCACTGATAAACAATAGAACTTTGACCATACTTTTGGGTTTTACAAGATGGTACATTTAGTTTTCCATTGTGTATATTTCTAGTCCAGTAGGAATGTAATAGTCTACTTTCTGTGAACAAGTTTGTGACAGGAGATGGTATATTTTTATTTAAGGAGTCATTAACAAAAAGAAGATTTGCATACTTGGTTAGCGCTGGAAATGTTAAAATGAAAAGATTTTTGAAGGACTTTGATGTATCTGATTTAATTGGTTGGAAGTTTATTAATCTGACGGATTGACGCTGAGACGATAGCAACTTGTTAATGCGATAGTTTCCAACTTGAACCCTAACTTGACAACAATAGCTAAGATGAGATGAGAATAATGCATAGTAAATACTCTTAAGTGTAAATTTATTTAAATAATGACGAATTATTGAAAGCATACCGTTAGCTCGAGTTTCTTGCTTAGTTCATGAATATGAAAGTTCAATGAAAGATTACAATCAAATAATACACCAAGATATTTAATAATTCGTGAAGGATATAGCTGTTTGTTATTAATTTTGATTTTGATTTCAACATTTTTTAAAGAAATTGTTTTTTTTTGGAGATGAAAAAAAAAATTAGTTTAGTTTTTTCGGTGTTGAGACATATTAGGTTAGCATTTAACCAGTGAACTATACCTTTTAGATCCAAATTAACATTTTTACATTAAAAATGATACAATTTGTTGATGTGCAAGAGATTTGTATCATCAGCAAACAGATGGACTGAAGAGAAGTGAACAGAGTTGATTAGGTCGTTAACGTAGATTAAAAGCAAAAGAGGACCTAGAAGAGAACCTTGAGGAACACCACACAAAACTAGAATTGAAACCATTAATACTTACAAATTGTTTTCGATCTGTAAGAAAAGATCGAAACCAGTCATTTACAATACCGCGAATTTCGTAATGTTTTAATTTAGAAATTAAAATACTATGGTCAACAGTATCGAAAGCTTTTTGTAAATTGATAAAAACACCACAAATGAAATGACCAGTATCAAGAGCTTTCCTGATTTTTTCTGTTATACTTGTTAATGCATGGCAAGTAGAATGTTTTGATCGAAAACCAAATTGAAAACCATTTAAACAATTAATGAGTTTAGAAAAGAGTACACTCTGGAATACCAAAAATTTTTCAAGAAGCTTACCTATATAAGATAAAAGAGAAATAGGTCTGTAGTTAGTGCATGAAAGTTTAGAGCCATTTTTAAATATTGGAACGTTTATAAAATTTTATGCCTCATGTTCAAAAGTAAGTTTTAACAACGCCCCTCAATTTTTAATGATCTTTATGAAATAAAACCTAACATTAAATATATTTTAAGCACAACAATCTTAATTGAACCATTGTGCAAAACTAAACAAGAACGATTTAAAATTACGTATTGTGCTCCACATATTTGGAATAAAATCTTAGCAAAATATAGTAATTTACCAGGTGTAAACAATATGAATTGTTTTCAAAAACTAATAAAAAAGAATATTTCAAAGTATACAAATCTTATTAATGATTTCTTTTAAACTGCTTTGTTTTTTTTTGTTTGTTTGTTTTTTTGCTTTTGTCTTTTTACATTGAAAGGTTTTCGGTTTTAACACTAATTACCTTAATTAATACCCCGTTCATACTGACGATAAAACACGTTTTAACTGTTGTATTTTAAACGCGTTTAAAATTTTACTGTTCTCACCAAGTTTAAAATTGGTTTTAATTTACACGCGCGACAAAAAAAGCCGTTTATATAAAACAAGCTCGGTGAGGTTGTTTTGTTTGTGTTTTATTATCCTGAACTGTGTATTTAAATGGCGGAAGAAAAAACTGTTGCTGAAGTAAAAGTTAAATCTAAAAAAAGAGGTAGACATTGGGATGACGAGGAAACAAAAATACTAATTAGTAAATGGTCTGAAGATAATATTCAAGAAAAGTTAAAGTCATGCACAAGGTTTGCTTTTTTGGTTATTTTGGATCGAATTGAAATAAATATTTTTTTCCTTGTTTACAAAATGATCAAGAAAATAAATGTTAATGGTTTTTATTTTTAATGTAACACTATCATATATATTTATAAATAATGCTACATATATTATAAATGAATCTCTTTTTGTTATTACTATTAACAAGAAAATATTAATTTTTCTTTAACAATCACTACAATACACACATTTAAATTAATTAAAATAATAATTATAAGCATATTATTTTAAAATAATAAGTTGATTATCTATAAGGATGGCGTAATTTAAGAGAAGTATGATATATGATACATTGACATATGTCAATGTGTATATCATACAATGTATATATATATATATATATATATATATATATATATATATATATTATATATATATATATATATATATATATATATATATATATATATATATATATATATATATACATAAAAATATATAAATATATATATATAAATATATATATATAAATATATATATATATATATATTTATATATATATATATATATATATAATGTCTTAACTTTTGATGTAATATATATATCTTAACTTTTAATTAAATATAATTTACAATAGTGTTTTTGAATAATATTTTACAATAGTGTTTTTTTTAATAATAATTTTAATGTTATTGATGTTATAAAGTGTTTTCACATCTTAAAAATACTTTAATTATGATGTAAAAACAACATTCGATATTACTTTTACTCTATAGATAACTTCGTATTTTTTTTTGTCTTAGAAAAAAAAAGATTTGGCAAGAAATTTTGCTATACTTGCAAGCTTCTGGTTATGAAGACAGAGATGAAGAAATGTGTAAAACAAGAATTCACACATTAACAAGTGCATATCGAAATTACCTAGATAATAAACGAAATACAAGTGGAACTGGTCCTTCGAAAAAACCTTCCTGCTTTGATGAAATTGATAAGGTTCTTAGTGATAAACCAACGACATTACCAACATTTTTGAAAAGTTCTTCAGGAACGAATGTTTTAGTTGAAGAAACTGCACATTTGAATAGTTTAAATAATTGTGTTAATGAGTTAAAAAACTGTGAACATATTGATATTGAAGTTGTTCCATCAAGTTCTAAATCACAAGAGTTGGTAAAAAAAGATAAAAGTTTTTACTTTAAAAAATCCAAAAAGAAAAAATCAAGAAGTGATGTAATGTTTGAGCAAATAAATGCCACTGTTAACACGTTTATGACCTCGCAGGCTGATATTGATCGTAAAATTTTAGAATGCCTTTTAGAAAATCACAAAGAACAAGAACCAAATGTTATATTAAAAGTTCGCCAAGCTGGAGATATATATTTCATTGAAATAGAATTTTTGTTGACAGATTTGACTGTAGAAAAACTTACAAGCACAATAAAAGAGGAATTTAGAATTGAAAATAATGCCACTTTATTGATTACCAAGTTACCAAATGTACTTATCCGAAATGATAAGGATGTTAAACGTCTCAAAAGTGGGGCTGAAATTGAATTTTTGATTGTAATGAAAAAAAACTAAAACTATTTTTTTGTAATGTTATTTTGTTTTTTAAGATAAAAAATATAAATTTTTAAATATTGTTTTAAAAGTTCATTTACACCTAATTACTTGTAAAGTAATGTTTTTTTATAGCACTCCTTATAAACTCTGCTTTATTGTCAATTTCAATGCAACTGTGGTTTAATAGAGGGTTTACTAAGTCAATTTCTGTTTGTTTAATCCATTCATTTAAAAAATTTTGTTTTGTCAAAGTACAGAAATTATGTAGAATACAACATGTTGTAACGATATTGACTGTGTGTTCAACTGTTGTATCTAATCTTTTTAAAAGACATTGAAATCGACCTTTCAATCTTCCAAATGCATTCTCTATTACAGCTCTACACTTACTTAGTGAAGCGTTAAACTTGGCTTCTTCTATACTTAAATTTCCACGATCTGAGTAGGGTTTCATAAGCCAATTTTCAAGGGAATAAGCTGAATCACCGAGAATAAGAGGACCAATTTCTATATTATCAATTATTTTGTTTAAGTTATTTGGTAAAAAGGTTCTGGCTAGACACTCTTTATATAAAGGAGAATTTTTAAAAACTCTTGAATCGTGAGACTTGCCAGTCCACCCAACAAAAATATCTCTGAATAAGTACTTGCTATCTGCCAACCCCTGTAATATAATGGAGTGATAATCTTTTCTGTTTATATAATCCTCTGAATTTTTATGAGCCTTTATTCTAATGTGACATCCATCAACTGCTCCAACTACTTGTGGAAAACCATATAGTTTTTCAAAACTTGCCATTATCTCTATTGTCTCTTTCCTTGAGGGTAAAAAAATGTATTTTTTCAGTAAATTATCAACAAAAAGTTTACAAACTTTATGAACTATTGTACAAACAGTAGATTTTCCTAAGCCAAACAGGTTGCCTATTGTCCGGTAATCTGCAGATCCACTTAAAAAGTAAAGTGTGACAGCTAACTTTATTTCTATAGGCAAAGATTTCCGAAAATTAGTTTTTTGCATAGGCATAAAAATTGAAACTTCCTTGCATAGATAGTTAAAGCCTGCTTTTGAAATTCTTATGTTTTGAATCCAATCGTCGTCGTTCCAACAGAACGACATAGTTTTGTACCAAAAGTGCTGACTGCGAGGTTTAGTCCAAAATCTTCTGTGAATAGAATAATTATAAGCACGGATACAGTTTATCAATATGTGCTGTAATTGCATTCTTTTTTTTTTTCTTAATATATACAAGAACACTCTTAATTTAGAGATCAAGATTTTATTTGAGGACGCCATTTTTAATGTTGAGATTAAAACGTTTGATGTGAACGCAAAAAAACTGAAAACGTGTTTTAATATAAAACTGGTTTTCCTTCAAAACCAGTTTAGTTTAAAACAGCATTTAGTGTGAACGGGGTATAAGTTTTGCTTTCAACACTATTTTAGGAATTTAATATAATTATTACAACGGTTCTTGATGAAAAGACCTAATGGTCATCTGCAAGTTTTCCCGTATTTTTATTTATTTTTGTATAACTAACTCTTATTATTTTGTCTTTGATTTTTTATATTTATAACTGGTTTATTTTTGAAAAGAATAAGATTATCTTGTATTATATTGCGTAATTTAATTGCAACAAAAACGGAAAATTAAACAAAATATATATATATATATATATATATATATATATATACATATATATATATATATATATATATATATATATATATATATATATATATATATATATATATATATATATATATATATATATATATATATATATATATATATATATATATATATATATATATGTATATATATATATATATATATATATATATATATATATATATATATATATATATATATATATATATATATATATATATATATAGTTATTTATATGTATATATATATATATATATATATATATATATATATATATATATATATATATATAAATATATATATATATATATATATATGTATATATATATATATATATATATATATATATATATATATATATATATATATATATATATATATATATATATATATATATATATATATATATATATATATATTTTATACCCGTTATGATATATATACATATTATGTATACAACATATTTATATATATTAAAATATTTGAAATTTTAGAAGATTCAAAATATTTTCAAGATTTAAATTCGTCTATTTATTTTTTTCATACAAAATTAAAACAAGCAGACAATAACATCAAGAAAGATAGATTTATAGTTTTTTTAAGTATATTTAATAGATTTTATTTTTTTTAATTTTATTTAGGTGCTCCTAGAAGTCCCTATGGTTTTATCTCAGCGCACCGCGGATGAGCATTTAATCTTAAGTTCAAGCCTCCCTCTAAACCGATGTCGCAAAACTTGTCTAGAGGTGGGGTTTGAACCACGGATCCTTTGTTTCTGAGGCAAGTGCGCAATCACTGCGTCACGGCTGCTAGTTCCACAAGTGTGATCTTGTAATTCGGATTAGTGAGAGAAGTCAGATTTTTTTAGTGATGTTAGTGGAATGTAGTAATTACTTATTGAGTGTCTTATTTCCTATTTATGAATAATAAGAGAACAATTTTTATAAAAAATTTTTGAAACTATTTTATTCGAAAATTAACCATAAATAACAAGTTATGATAGATATTCAGTTCATTTGCGTTTAGAGTATTTATTACATTGAGTACTCAATGTATTAAATGGCTCAACAATTTCGTACCTATCTGCACCCAAAACTGATTGACTAGTTTGCTTATTTTGTATAAATATTTTTTAATAAAGATGAATGATTGTTTGCCCAGGCAATATTACAATAGTTATTATAACTATGTATATATGAATAAAATAAATTTTTTAAATATTACTTATTTAAAAGATGTTTTTTCTTGTGCATTATCCTCAGAGTCCTTAAAACTTCATTCTCGACTAATTTTATTTGACTTTACCAATTTAAATGTTCATCAAAAATTATTGCAATTATTTTTATTGGAAAAAAACTTTTTTTATTTAACCCTTAAATGACGGGGAGAAAAAATTACGTTAATTTAATAGAAAACATTACATTGTTTTCAATTAAATAATTACGAGGCTCATGATGCATAATTTGCTCTAACAATTTTAAGAAACATGGTTAAACAGAAATAGGTCTATATCTAGATATATTTGTGTCATCGCCAGATTTAAAAAGTAAGTATTATCTTAGCAATTTTTAAATTCTCTGGTACAATTCTGGATTTTAGTGAAAAGTTGAATATGTAAAACAGCGGCGGTTCAAAAATATCAAACAATGTTTTAACAATATTCACGCTTATTTTATCTATGTCAGCGTATTTATTAATTTTTAAAAAGTTAAGGAATTTCGCATTTCCCTTAAGTTAATTTTACATCTTTCATGGATATATTGGTTGATAGGAGACTCAAAGTTTTTTTGAATTTTATCAGCTAACAATGGGCAATTTTGCCCATCGTTGGCTGATAAATTAACAATGGGCTTTTTAATTTTTACTTCTTTGTTATAAATCATTTTCCCTCTCAACAAAGCGTTTTTGTGGCAAATTAGTTTTTGGACAATTATTTTTACCGATATCTGCTTAACCACATTTTTTGTATGTTTCTGCGTGTTTTTTTTAACAACTTTGTATAATAATTTTTTTTCGTGTTTCTTTTTTATTTCAAACATGTTTTTATACTTTTTGTATTTTAATTCTTTTTTATGTGTTTTATGTTTTAAATACTTATTATAAAGTTTTTGTTTTTTGCGTTGATGATTTGTACTAACCTTTGGTCATTCTAGTGTTTAAAAGTGAATTACCTGGTGGGAAATGAGCTTGCGACTTGCGAGTGACTGGCTAGCTTTATAGCGATTTTCAAGCGATTTTTTTTTTCTTATTTTATTTTTTCCTAATGCCTTTAACATCTTTAAAAATTTGATTTTTAGTGTTGAGTCTAATATAATTATGAGTATAATTGAACATTAAACAATGCAATTTTGTAGTAATGAGTTGCTAGCTACATACCGTAGCATTTTAGCTAGCTAGAAAATATCTACAAATCTTTAGCATGTTGATAGCTACATATCAAAATTTTTAGACAAAGATTTTATTACGATATGACGCTAGAAAATCTGTGGGTCTTTAGCTTATTAAGCTAGCTGCCCTTGTAGCGAAATTCATGTCTTTATCTTTACAAAAATCGATAGCTTTTCGCTAACTTAAAAAGCTCGTGATCAAATCACTGTCTTTATTATTATGATTATAGCTAGCCGATTTCCCAAGGGTAGATTTTATAATTTTTTTTTAATTGGAAATGCCAAATCATAGTATTTACAAAACTGTGCAAAAAAAAAAATTCATACGCATTATTTGCATCTTGTGAGTGTAATATAAGATTTTAAACAGTTTTTTCAGATAAAATATTTCAAAAGTATAATATAAAATTTTCATTGACTTGTCGTATTAAGATTGTTGAATTAGAAACTAAACGATTAAGGGTTATGTTATCTGTAATTTAAAATATTGGGTAATGATCAATTATGTCGGCTTTGATTTTACCCGATTCAAAGAAACAATTATGAAAATTATTAGTGAATATATTATCTAGCAACGTTGACAAGGTCTTAGTTATTCTTGTTGACTTTTTTATAGTGAAAATTATATCGTGTTGAACAAGCGCATATAAAAAAAATTGAACATTTACATTTGAAGCGTGATTTAACAAGTTTAATTTATAATCACCAGTTTTCACAAAAAACACGTGTTTCTTTGAAATGTTAACTTTGCTTAAAACGAACTTTTAAATGGGTTTAAAATGAATTTAAATTACCATCTGGTTTTCTATAAATAGAATTGATAATAATATTTTTAGTCGCTTTATTATTTAATTCAATGCATAGCAATTCGAAATACTTGAAATATCATTGCTTTGAATATCTTGGCTGAATAATGATCTAAAGCATGAAATTGTTCTAAAATTCTAACATTGTTAACTAGAATTTTTCGCAAAAAAAAACTAATGATAGAAAAAGTTATACAGAACAATTTTTATTTATAACTTAATTTAATTTTTAATTAAAATTGAACTCTAATTTTATTGCGTTTCTTTTTATTTTCAAGTGGGCATTCGACGTCTGGGAGAAGTCCATCGGACGCCTTACAGACATATACTTCCGTATACGTCTGGACGTCCAGGAGATGTCTTATGGAAAATCTTCGGATGATGCATGCCCACTTGGTTAGGATCTTATCTACTTAAGGTATTAAAAAAAAGCCGTAAGTAATCCGAGTTAGATAACATAGAAAAAAGCAGACAGTTGTGTTATTTCAGAAAAACACATCACCTGAGAAAATTTCCTCCGTAACGGATTCAAAGCGTTTATATTTTCTTAGCAGACCCATACTATAGAAATTATCCTAGTTAATACGGTCTTATACCATTCAATACTAATCCGGTAATTTGGGTATTGTGGTTTATTCTCTTCCGGCTTGTTGCTGTATAAAGACCACATACCCGGGCTAACAAAGACAAGTTCAGCTTTCTAAATAACATCATGACCCGCTCACTTACTCTTAGTTGCTGGTCGGCGACCAAGAGTAAGTGAGTTTAGGACGAACCAATAAAGTTAGAGCAAAAGTCAGAAGAAATGAAGTAAAAAAAAAAAAACATAAAGAAAGCGGAAAGATAATTACACTAGATGTTAGAATGTGCAATTCATACAATTAATTAGATTATCTAATCAATGTATTAGTATAAACGTGATTAATGTTTCTG